ATCTCAAAATTAGCATAAAACGGTCTCTACTCATATAGTTCGAAAATGCTGGAAGGTTGAAAAGCCGATGTTTTTTCCAGTAATCCTGCATTCTATTTAGCCTAATAGTGCCCATATGGAATACAAGACCAACAAATATTTTCAATTCCTCCTTTGTCAATTCTGCCCACTTTGTTATTCGAGATTTCTCTTGTGTATTCTCAGAAAGAAAAACGTCTTCTGCGTAGTTATTCGTTTCCAGAATTATCATTTCAAGCAAATCGTCATCAAACAGTAAATCAAAATAATCACCTGGTTCATTGCCTAAAACAAGATAAGAATACCTAATAAGAGAGAAAAAATTTACCGTCAGGTTGAACTATTAGCTCCCTCTGTTTTGTAAATGTCAATTTTTTAAAATCCCCCACTGCATCCCATATGACATCATCCACAGGAGCCTGGCCAGGTGTTTTTTTTTAGGTTGGGGTTTGGGATTTGTTGTTAATTTTAAACTATTATCCAAAACATCGGGAATATTATCGTGGACGGCTGATAAATCCAAATCATCCTCACCTTGGTCATCACTGTCACTAGAATTGCCATACTCAGCCTCAACATCTAAATCCTCATAGTCTGGATCACCAGTATCATCATCCGAGTCCAGCAAATAGCTTTCTAGTTCTTTATCATTCAAAGGAATTCTTTGTTTCCAACTTTTCTTACACAATCTAGGCCTTTTCACCCCTGAGGGCCCTGCCTCACTATCAGACATCGCAAAATCAACGGCAACTGTTTTTCACTTCTTCAATACGTGTACGAAAGGCTGAGCAAAGCGCAACGCACCCGCTCAAAGGCTGACGATTTACTGGAGCGTTATAAGACAGACTGTCGAAGACGTCGAAAGACGCCCACCGCCTCCCAGCACAGAGGCGGAGGGCGTCTTTCGACGCCGTCAGCAGCGAACGTGTTAAGTCCTTAATTAAGTTGATTGAGAACAGTGATGAGTTAAAGAGTTCTCCCTACCAAAAAGACCCAACACTGATATACCAGTTGGGAGAGGTGATACTGATTAGTATATCTAAAGATCCTTATATACTTACACTGATTCTTGTGGTCCCTCACCTTATAAATGGGTCCTTGGGATCTATGTACTCAGCCGCTTCAGTACCTGTGTGCAAGCCAAGTGGGGTATTGGTGGAGTTGGCGACTCCTGATCTTATTGTTATTGAGGAAAATGGGTATGTCTGGTCACCAGACTCCTCCTCCTGTCACATCACTGATTTCTATGCTATATGCCCTATTTCCACTTCTCACAACTATGCTGAGCCATGTTTGAGTAATATCATAACCTTGATTAGTACCCAGGATTGCCATTTTTATATTAAGAAGAAAGGAGATGATCCTATAGAACAAGAAGTATATCAATTAAGATCTGGACTCCTAATAAGTTGTGGTGGGGTTCCAATGAATATTGTAAAATTAAGGGGGAAGGTTCCTGTTAGTTCTCCAATACATAAAAATGGAGATGATGTTATAATACTTACCCCTAAGGATGGAAATTCTGTTATCATAAATTCTAGTGTTTACACAATAGGGATACACAATGATCCAGTAAACATAGATGTATTTACTTGTAATACTAGTGATAATTTTGAGAGATTTATTCCAGGACTGGATTCCCAAGAGTGGGGGGAGCTAGATAAGGTTATGATTCCTGAGATGCAGGTAGGACAGCGTGCTCACTCCACTCTAATTGGAATTCTTGTCTTAAGCACCTTATTTATATCCATAATTTTGTACATCCTTTACAAAAACCATGCATTGATCATTAAGTCCACTCATCATAACCTAGAGGAGTTAAAGACTATTAGAGAAGCAATAGATTATTAACCATCACTCTAAGAAGAGGACAATTATTATCTTATAAGATTTGAGGTAATTATAACTCTATTGGTTTGACCAATTATTGTTTAAAATAAGATTATTACTCCCCTCTAATATAGCCATAATTATTCTTATCCTTCTTTATTATTATTAGTTTATCTTAACTTTTTAGTCCTTTATTTTATCTTTTTAACCTAGTTCATTTTATTTTTATTTTTATTTTATTCCGTGATTTTGACTTTGTATTATCATTAAGAAAAAAAAAAAAAAAAAAAAATGTGTAGCATTTTAATTTTCCTCTAATTTAAATTCATATAAAATGCTACAATTTTGGAACAAATAGTAAAACAATCAATTTTAGTTTTAAGAATGTTTATTAATTATAATTAAATAAATTAATGAATAAATAATATGTTTATCTTGGTAACTGTAAATTCTGGTTGGGAAATTTCTGGCATCAACTTCTGTTTTCTTATGGGTGTCTTCAAGAACCTAGAAAGAGAAAAAAAATAAATAAAAGAAAAATGAGACAAATCACCGATTACTTTTGTGATATAAAAACTTACCTGTATCTATCCCAAAACCAATTCAGATTCCGCTATTGTGGAGTTTCTCTTTGCTCACCCATTTTCAAATTTTTCTATTTTTCCATCACAGTTAAATCCAACCCTGGTGTTTGGTCTATTTTAAATTACGGCTGGCCTTGTCACCGTTCAGCGAATATTTTTGGGGGGATCTCCCACCGCCTTGAACTTGGTTCACGGTTGTAGCAGGGAGGCTTCGTTTTGGTACCAGTGGTCACGGAGCCTTTGTCAAGAGCTTTGAAAACTCTAAAATCCGTCCGTATCGCCCTTTTGATTTTTATCAAGATTTGTAGAAGTTGGCGGAGACCACAAAATATTTTGTGAGCTCAGTAGATCCAGTTTCGAGATTTATGGTTCTTGAGCGATTTTATGAGTTATTTGGGATGATTATTTCGCGTAAGTTGCACGTGCCTGGTGGTAAGAATTTAACATCTTCTTATGGTTTTTTTTTATCTTTATAGATCCATTTTTGATTATCCAGTTTGCTTTGGATTGGCATTAAATTGCTGCTGATGTTCGCATTGGAATTTTCACTTCCTAATTTATTGGAGGGTCCAAATCAGAGTCCAAATCAGAGTCCAAATTAGAGTCCAAATTAGAGTCCAAATTAGAGTCCAAATTATAGTCCAAATTAGAGTCCAAATCAGAGTCCTAATCAGAGTCCAAATCCAAATCCAACTCCAAATTCAGATAAGTTCAAAGTCAAGCCCAAGGGGAAAATGTCTCCAAATTTTTCTAGGAAGATCCAACCCGTGCAATTACCAACTAGTCCGAGTTGTAGTTCAGGTCCACTTTCCGCCCATTTGATCTCTACTCTTACCAGAAAATATCCAGCTTCGAATTCGTCCAGAGCCCAATAAGCCAGATTTGGGACTTTATGGATGCATAGAAAATCTAACAGGTTTGCTAAAGAGTAAGGCAGCTCAGTGAAAAACCAAATAAAAAAAAAATATGCTTTAACTTTCAAACATTTTCTTACATTTTTTTTAGTTTTTGAAATAATGATTTATCTATATTAAGGTATAATGTGAATAGCCGATTTGGTATTTTTTTATTTTATTTTTATTGCGTATATTATTCAGGTATTTTTGGGTAAGACCCCAAAACCCCGAAGATTCATGAATTTTCCCCAGGTTTTCCGTGATATAATTATTTAAGGTAATACAATTTAACCAAATAGTGCTATATATTCAACAATCCTGTTCGATATCAAAATTTATCTTTAACGCAAATTTTCATAACATTAATTACAATCTCATAACTTTAATTACAATTTCTATAACTTTAATTTTTACAAAGGTTTATATATTATACCGGTGTAATTGTACAGTGTACAGTGTGTTCCTTACTGTTGTCCAGGAAAATAAAGTTTCATTTTTTGGGGAGTACTGAGTATTTGTTTAGAGTATCTTTCTTATTTTCAGGTCACAGTTTCAGGTACTTTTCAAATTAAGTTTTTCTAATTTTTTTTCTTAATTGACATTTCAACATTATTTAAACTGTAATAATTATGTAAGTAATCTCTCACTTAAAAAAATTAGTGGCGTCCAAATGGCAAGGTCAAAATCAAGCAAATATTATCTGAACCCATTTCCCAATGCCACTGATGAAAAGCTGCCGTGCTTATATGTTTAGTGGTTGTTTTCCGGAATCAGAAAAAATCAGGAAAATAATTGCTACATATAATAAATAGCGCCCATAACGTGGGGCTCCGCGAATAAGACCTTTTTTAAATTTTTTGCTGATTTTGACTTTCAAATTCTGAAAATCTCATTACTTCCCCCAACATATTGATTTTTATTCTGAGAATGTTTTCTTCAATGCTTTATTTTCTTGGAGGACGAAGAATTTCTTTTTACGATAAAAATATACACCAAATAATTTAAATAGGTATTGGTACTATTCAGTACAAGCAATTTTTATGAACCGAACCTTGGTAGGTAGGTACTTGTTTTTCTATTTTGGTGACTGTTGAAAAAAATAAATTCCTGAACCATACATATCGTTGAACTTGGGATACTTTTTCAATTTAAATAAAATTTTATCGCTATGATAAATATACGCAAATTTTAACATTTTACAGGGCGACCTTTATACTTACAGAGTGGTCTCATGTAATAATATGATTTGATTTATTGTGGACTTAGAATAATTTGGATGACTGAATTTTTTTTTCAACTATCTTAAGGTGCACTTTGTTTTTTGAAACTGGACCCTCTAATAATTTATGAATAGGTTCATTAAGGAGTGGAAACGTTTGATATTTTTTTGATGCCTGATTTATTTTTACCCTCGATAATATTCGGATTATAGGATATTTTGATGGCAGTTATTTGTTGAATATAGGAAGCAGAGAGTATCCTATATTTTTTTGTGGTACCTATTGGATAGTTTTAGGAATTTTTTGAGAAACTTTTTGCTAAATTTTTGGTCCGATTTTGATTTTGTTTCTGCGCTGCATTTGAAATTTGACGGCGGTTCTATTTTTTGTATTTTTGAAGTGGTGGCACTCACCAATACATTTAATTTTTTTAAATTTTATATCGCTTCAATATGGAACCACTAGGTACTTTTGGAGCTAGTTATTTGCTAGAGGCTGAAATAGATTACGAGTTGAGTCTCCGAAATTGTAGTGTAACCAAGACTGCAAAAGAAAAGAAAACTATTTTATCAAGGTTGCTAGCTAGGGAACGCGATAATAGAAAATCTTTGCTTGTAGAAGGCGCGTATAAGTACGATTTTAACACTGAAAAAGCTGCAATAGAAAAATCTTTAAGTTCTATTGTAGATCTTATCGCTCTTTTTGAAGGAACTACTAGAGACCCGCTTTTCGCTCGAATTAGATCACGCCTTAACCAAGTTTCTGGTCGCGTTATTCGCCTTCCCGTTAAAGATTATGACCCAGTTGGCACTGAACCAAGAGTTCGGAGTGCTGAAGTTGTAGCTTATCGACAAGATACTTACGCTACGTGTCTCCAATTGGAAGCAGAGGTGCTAGAGAAAGCTGAAACTCAAAGATGTCCATCACCTTTACCTCAATCTTTTCAAGTTCCTCCATCTTTCAATGTACAGCCACCCGCTCCACCTATAGTTGCTTGTTCTTCCCGTAGTGTCCCAATTTCAGAATGGCGTGTCAAATTTAATGGAAAAATATTTTTATTGAGGTAAAAGGTCGGTAATATAATTATACAGTACATAGGCATTCCTAATGCTACATAAACTAAACATAATTCTATGATATATACAATTTGTCAAATTAGGAGTAAGTTTGGGTACTTTACCACCCGAAAATTCTAAATTAACTATGGCTGGAGGATCTAGGCTCATTTCCATAAAAACTTTGATTAAAAAGTCCTTCTTGACATGTCCCTTCACGTAAACAGTATCAACGTCTTTCAAATTCTCCCGAAGCAGTTGATTAAGTTGTTCATAGTCTACATGACCTGCATTGTAAGAGATACCATGTAGGTTGTGGAACACGTAGTTTACTTCTTTCTTCTGAGCCTCGCTCAAGTTACGGTACAATATTTTGGGCTTAAACACCCAACTTCGCAGCAATTTCCCATCATAAATGGCCAACTCTTTTACTTGGAAATCAGTAGAAAAGTAGCCTTGAACGTCCAGAACCACAAACTTCATCCTTTTCTGTGCAAAGTTTGGGAACGACTGATTAAATCAAAGTTCGAACATTACCTGATAAGGGCAAGTATTCAAACACTCGATCATGCACGATAATGCAGCAGGCTCGTGATTCATCAGAAAAATTCTCCGAGCTTTGGAATTCCAATTTAACATCGATGGTACTGCTTTTCAAAGCTTCGTTTTGTTTCGAGCAGTCTATGACAAATAATGCCCTATTTGAAAAATTTTCAAAGTCCAATAATGGCTCACTATTGGTTTTACCCAAATACGTGTTTTGAAATTCGGTATACATCCGGTAGGCTTCTGCAAACTGTTTCGCATTGAAATTAAGGTTTAGGGACTCGTACGGATATATCTCGGAGTTAAGATATAGTTTAACATCCGTAATATTCAAATGATCAAAAAGAGTAATATCATATCTTGGATTATCCTTTCGCTTCTTCTGGAACATGGATGACATATCTCGCTCTCTCTGACATGGATTTTACAGTCCATACGTCTCTCTTGGTTTTTCTCAATGAGGGCAGCTCGTGGATCTCCCAACTTCTGAATGGGATGAATATCGGCTTGTTATTTGAAATGCCTTCCAACAAGCTCAATTTCAAAACATCATCTGGATAAATGTGCCTCACTCTCAGTTCTACTTTGTCTAGAGTGATTTTGGCCGTTTTATCACCCGTCGTATTGGTATAGCAGTTATCGTCATTTCTAGCTCTAACAAGTTTTATTTTTTGTCTACCCATAATAACCTTGTTGTAATCGGAAAAGATATTTAGCATTGCCCTCAAGGGTATCAGGAAATTAAAGTTTTCTCCTACTGAGGATTTCACTACACCATTAGGCCAATTCCAGCCAGCTCGCTCGAGTGCCCGGCTCTCTTGATCGTTGAGGCATAAGAAATTCCGCACTGTGCTAGTGAGTCCGGGATCTCGGATTCTTTCAATTTCCTTGCCGTTTAATTCGTAGGTGATGGATTCGAAAAGAAATGCTCCCGCATTAATTGTTAGATTACATTTTCCTGTTTTCCCAGCGGTAGTGTCTTCGTGAAATTTTCCTTCGATATAGATTTCGGCTTGGCTGATATCCATAAACACGTCTTGCTGATTGATAACAATTTCGATTTCGTCGTTATAGTTGAAAGAGTTTGTGAAAGGATGGTAGGTATGCCATTCTTCTCTAGCTATGGACTCATCGGCGTTGACCGACTGAAATATTCGCAGTTTTTCTGATGTGATAGCCATATTTAGAGGCCAGAGAATTCAACCGTATCAGACTTCTGTGTGTGAGCGCTTGCCTCGATGCCTGGGTACAGACTGAGTTACAGTTATTGAAACCACTGCTTAAGTAGCCACGATTAAAAACCAGGACCATACTTCTTCAGCTCTAATCTCACTATAATCTCTTCTCCTCTGAAATTAACCGGCCTTGCTTCTTGATCGAGTATATTGATTGTTAAATTATCGATGCTGTTTCTATTGAGAGGAAGATAGATCTTTTACTCCAGTCTACTAGAAGTATGGCGAGTTCAACCCCCAGTTCAGACAACGAAGGCTTGATGTCTGCAGAAATGGAAACAACTGTATTTAATTCGTCCTGTTCTTTGTCGGGTTGGAATTATTTTAACAGTATGGTGGCCAGAAGTGATCAAGAAATCAAGAAAGAATCGAAATTTTTGGGTGAGACATGTTATGCAACCAAGAACTTCAAAATTATTGCCGGAATAAGTATCGCTCAAGGATTGATACCCAGTATAAAAGTAACAAGTACCATTTTAAACCTACCTGAAGAACAAGTGACTGTATCCTTTAGTGATAAAGAATGGACTGAATTTCTGGGAATTGTCAATTCCTTCATGGAGATGGATAATGATGATGATGATGATGTTAGTGAAGTGATAATAGTTTATTCTCTATCAGAAAACTTTACTGTTTCCTCAGCTATATTTTTGGGAGAGAGAATGATCAAGTTGACAAGCAGAGGAGTTAATTTATGCTTTTGTGTAGACGATATTGAATCCTTTTTAAAAACCCAAGATATAATAGATTACAGGCTGCGTTTACTCGCAGAACTAGATTTTAGAACCTTTTATGACAATCTATTGAACTATTACAATGTAAAAACTGTTAATGAAAATAATTGTCTAAGTGTGATAAAAGAATATTGTAACTTAAATATTTGTGAACTATGTTATTTCACGTTAGAGTTTATACACCTGAACCCAGAAAAAATAAAAGCAGATTTCATCAGAATATGCAATTTAGAAAGTGATGTATAGTTTATAGCAGTTAATGTATGTATTATGTAATTTTTAATAGTAATAAAAACATAAAAAAAAAACAAATCGTTATTTTATTATCTGTCTTGAAATCTAGACAAATACAATGAGAAAGACTGAAGAAGAAGGGAAACACAGGAAAAAAAGATTGCATGATACCATGCTTTCGATTAGGCTGTAATTGTCAACTACAGCCTAATCGGGAGCTTGGCACCAGCCAAACTTTTTTTTTGACTTTGATGTGATTCGAACACACAACCTTCTGATCTGAAGCCAGACGCGCTACCAATTGCGCCACAAAGTCTTTCTAGTAAGATAAGAACCTATAACATTTGATTCTTTCCTCAGTATCATCATGTCAGTCGATAAGTTTGGGCGTACGCAACGTCTTAACGACTACAAAAATTTAGTAGTCAAACTAAGCAACGTAAAAAGTCCTGGTGGTGGTCGTGGTGGTGGTGGTGGTACACAAGATTATGTTACAAAATCCTACACGGATAAAAAGCTTCAAGAAATCTCTGAAACGTTCAGAAAAGATATGGAAAACCGAGTGAAAACTGCGATACCCCCACAAGAAGAGAATAGATATAGGCAGCTGGAGTCCCAAATAAAGGAATGTCAGAAGAAAATTGGAAGTTTACTGAGTAAAAATAAGTCTATTGAAAATGATATTAAAACAAAATTGGCTGTTCGATTATCTGCCTTAGAAGAACAACATAAGGTGTTTAATGTAACGAAAAATTATATTGGTGACAAGAGAATAGTTAGAGCTGCAAATGCTATAAACGATAACGACTTAGTCACCAAAGGTCAGGTAATCAAAATGATTAATGAGAAGGTGAAGCAGTCTGCAACACCGGCACCTGCAGCAGCGGTCGCTAAAAAGCCAAAAGGGAAGGGAAACTGAATATAGCACAATAATTGTCTCCGTTTTCAGTCTAGTAGAAGCTCTTGTTGAAGATGTGTGATCAATTGTTGAAATTCCTAACGGGTGAAAAAAATATAGAAGATTGTAGTGCTGATGAGTTGAAGGATTTACCAATTGGGTTCTTTCTGCAGTATGTCGATAGTACTACACTTTTAAATATCTGGGGGAAATTACCACTCGAATGTAGAAAAGATTTTGAGTTGCAGACAAGACTTCCTTGTTTCATGCATTATAATAGACCTGATTGGAGGACTCATGTAGATGGACCTCCTTCCTCACAAAACCAATGTTATTTCTGTATAAGAGCTCTGGCCAAATAGTGGAACGTTTCATTTCTTCAACAGCAATGGTTTGGCTAAGTTCCAATTTCATAGCCCTCGCAGCAGTCGTTCAAAATATCTTCTATATACATCCGCCATCAGATGTCCGAAATATCAAGGCACAGCTGAAAACGGATAGCTATTCCAACGATTTATGGATTCCGCTTTACTACCGCCTCATAGACAATGATCGTACACGCACTTTCCAGACAGTACTTCCAGAATCGCGGAATAGATTATACCAGTATAAATTGCGAGTGGAATTCCTGAACAACAGCATTTTAGATAGCAGGGAATGGACAACTATCGGAATTGGTCCGCAGCAAGAAACCATCTCCAAAATCATCTGTAGAAACGAAACTATAAACTCCACTTCAACCGATTCGAGATCTGATGCATCTATTTACTTAATCTATACCTGTATAATAACCATAGCTGTAGTTTTCGGTATTTTATTGTCTAGAATGTTCTACCTAATTATAGGAAAAAGCAAATGTGATTATTTTAAGGTTTAATGAATAAAATTTTACCAAAAATTTGTTGTTTCATTGATCTTCATCGCCAATTGCATCAAATAAGGCATGCCTAAGAACAGGGTCTAGCTAACGGGGGCACCTGAGCCTGGGAACTTTTTCGATACCGTGGGAAAATCTCTAGATCGGCGGCGTCTTTGATCTGAAATTTCGGGGTTTTGACCCGGGCCAACCGTGGGAACTTTTGCGATAGCGTGGGAACTTTTTCGATAGCGTGGGAACTTTTTCGATACCGTGGGAAAATCTCTAGATCGGTGGCGTCTTTGATTTGAAATTTCGGGGTTTTGACCCGAGCCAACCTCAAATTTTTGGGGTTGAAAACGTGGTTTATTAAATAACATTTTATCTGAAATTATGTTTCATTACTC